GGGCCAGGTGGCCCATCACGTGCGCGGGGCTGTTTCTGCCGGGGTCCTCGCCCATCTGTTCTCAGCTCTTTCTGGGTTATCAGGCACCGGTCCAAGTCCTCGCAGGCAGCCAGTTCCATGGCCAGAGATTACGAGCACTAACCTTCCTGGCAGGAGTGGCGTGGCTTTGCTTTTATGCAGATTAGCCATGTGCTTCTCACTTCAAGGCGTTCCACAGGAAAAGACGTTTCCTGTGTTTGGTTCTCGGTGGGCGGCTCCGGTGGGTTGTACCGGCCAGAGCCCAGCCTGGATGTAGAGAGAGGGCTTGGAAGAGGGATTCCAACGTGCTGGCCCCCCTTCCCCTTCCACCTCCACTGCTACGTCACCACAACACAACCACACGCGCGCTCATACTGTTGGTGTCATTCATTCAGTGCCAAGATTGCTTTAAAAAATTCCCTTGGCCCCAGTTCAAACAGGAGTACAGCTGGGATGTGTTAGATTTTAGGCAGTCTGCCCTCAATTTGAGATGAGTTATAAATAGCAGTGCCGACTTCCTTAACTACCACTCTCCGAGGTAAAATGCAGGTTAATTACTGTGGGAATCAATTAGGGCTTCTCTCACTTAAACAGCCAGTAATGCTTTTTATTATTTTTTTAGCACAAAAAATAGACAACAAAGCTGGTCAGGGAAAGATTTCAGATCCAAGGTGAGAGCTTAGTGCTTCTTTATTATTTTTTTTGGCCTTTCTATTTGTTGTGGTTTGTGTTGGTTTTTTTTCCTGGGCAGTAAGGTAATCAGTCGTGGCCAATACCCACCTTTGCCAATAGTTGAATGATGTTGATTTGAAACTGGAGAGTTTGGTGAATGACTCTCCTTTCTTTGCTTCCTCTGGCATGAATAAAACACCAACATGGAATAAGGTAATGGGGGGAAAGTCAGAATCCCATTTTTCTAAACAGCTACAGAGGGTTTGGCTTTTGCTTTCAGAGTGGGATTTGCCTCTTCCCTTTACTCATTTTTCCTGCTGGGACCATTAAACAAGTCCCCTCCAGTTTAACCAAACTGCTCTTTCTGGAGGCCAAATTTCTCTTCTACTGGACAAAACCTGAAAAGAATTGCTTGTGGAATCCTCTCATCTCCTTTTTTTTTCAGGGAAACTCCAGTGTTGTTGTTGAAGAATAGCTGGTTTTCACGGTGCTGTTTCATTTTAAGGGTCTGACATCCTTTGCATGACACAGACTGATTTGGAGAGCTTTTGAACTCGGCAGTTTAAGCTCATTTTGGGTTTGCTGTTATAAGCTCCTAGTCTAGAAATACCTTAAATTTTCTGGAAAGCTCAGCAGTTTCTCTGGAACTCTGGCTTAGGATTGATTTCATGACACACCATACCAAACAGATTTGCTTTTTGAAAGTTTGACTGGTGACAGGATGATGTTTTGCCAAGTTTTGGTGCTTAATAGGGTTGGAAAGAAGCAGAGGTACGAGGTTGGAGGGTGAATAGAAGCAATTTCTATGAGAGCAAGGAGGTGCAAGCAGGGGGTCTGGACTTCAGTGATCAAGGAGCAACACTTTCTCTCAATTATGTCTCTCTGTGGCAGGGCCTTTGCTTTTGAAGTGTAATCACAGTAATCTACTCCTGTGGTTTCCTATTGAAAGGATTTCCCATCTATCCATCTGGAGGAGAATCTCCAGCCTTTTGCAGGCAGAGTTTGGTGTTTCCTTACTTACCCCAAAGTGGTCCTGCCAGCGGATCCCACGTTGCTTGCTTCCTCCCGACTTCCTCCTCTCCTGTCACACCCTGTACAAAGGGCTCTGCAGCATCTCTGCTCCCCCAAACTCCTCACAGGACCTCTTGGATCGATCTGCACTTCACTGCCTTTCAACTTTGACTGCTCTTTTCTTGAGGCCACGTGTAGTTAAATTACCTAAAAGGCCTGAGATAGCAGATTCAAGTAGACTTCCTGATGGCTCGTTAAGCCAGAGCAATGCTGTGAAGACAAGAACGGTTAAAGCCCTGTCAGTGAAAGAGATTTGTGTCTTCAGTGGGAGATTTTGAAGGAAGAAACGTGTTGCAACATTTTGAGATGTACACGGCAGCCCCAGGGAGCACGAATTGGTTTGCAACGTGTCAGGAGTGTGGGTATGAAACAGTTCCTTCAGAAGAGATTAATTGGCCTTTACATTTCTTCTAGTGATAGAATTTTGTCTGTCATTTGGAGTGATGCTCTTTGGGTTTGTTTTTGGCATCCTCTGAGCTAGGGCCTCATGGAAGAGTGGCAGTTCAAACCAGGGCACTTTGGATGCACGTTGTGTACTCCTACGCTGAGCAATCAAGGTGATGACTTGGTCACATCCTGGAAAGATGTTTGGGTTTTGTTTTCCTTTTTTTTTTTTTTTTTAATGGCTGCATAAACCAGTTTCAGAAGTTTCTTGAAGTTTTGAAAAAAGCATCATGCTTTCTGTAGGAGTCGTTCAAAAGTGGATCTTCAGCTTGTTTCTATCATTCCTGAAGACATGGTTAGCTTTGTGGGTGACCACAGACTAGAAAATCTGTGCAGAGGGGGCAGCCTGTGGTGTGTGTGTATTTAAAAAAAACCCAACAAATTTAAAAAATCCCCCAAGAGGAATGTGTTTTGAGAAGCTGTTCTGGCTAGCAGGCTGTGAAGGTGAGGTAACAACCAGGAGGAAGTGAGTAACAAATGGAAAAACTGCTGAAATGTTTAGTCAGTAGCCCCAAAGTTGCACTTGATCAGGTAGAAGGAAGGAGGTGTGTGTTTGGGGGGCTGGTGGAAGAGAGAGGCTGGACTTGTCAAAAGCTTGGGGCTGGGAAGCACTGCTGGTGGCACTGGTTTTACATACCAAAGAAGGTCGTGTGTGGAGGGAAGAGATGTCGGTAATCTAAGGTGACACCCACAAGACAAGACTGGGGAGGCATTAGGGACAGGTGCTGGAAAGATGTAAACATGATTTGCATCCGTTAGAGGGTATGAAAGCTCCATATAGGTGCTGCCATTCAGGGAGGAAGGCACTGGAGCTCTGAGGATCCAGTCTACAGCCATCAAAGACCTGATTTTATTTAATTATTCTGAGCCCCTGAATGGAAGATCCTTTTCAGAGCATGGTACAAAACCCTCTGTGGGTGCATTTGGGAGTGCTCCTCATTGAGGGCTCCTCCAGGCTTCCTCCTCAGAGGTCCTGCAACCCTGTACTCCTTAGCAGCAGCAGCTGTGGCAATGTGGATGTAAAGCGTGAAACCTAATTGTTTCTCTACTGTTTTGGTATTGGTTATGGACAGAAATGGGAACATCCAGTATGGGTGAGCATGGTGGAGCATCTAGAATCCATAGGGAGACCAGTGCTGGTGTACTGCAAGTGGTTGGTTGTGAACAAAAGACAGCAGACACCATATTTGCAGCAATGTTTGGTCTCAACTGGAGAGGAGGAGGGGACTTGGACCTTGTTCTAGATTACTTGTACCACACTGGTGCAAATTTTTCTGGCTTCAGTTGAGTGGGTAGCCCCCCCTTACCAAAACTGGGGTGCTTTCCCTGCCATTTCCATTCACTTCCCTGCCATGACCCAGCTCCTGTTGCCCCCCAAGTCTGCCATTAACTCCGAATCCTGCCCCTTCTCTTACTTCTCCTTGGCGTGGGCTCGGGGCTGTGTGGCTTGCCTGGCAGGCAAGACATAGCAGACAGCTGGTCAAACAAATGTTTTCAGGGTCTGTGTGTTGGGACTTCAAGCTGTGCTGGCTGTTGGGGTAGGATTTTCTGAAGTATAGCATACTGCAGCAACTCTTTTTTTTTTTTTTTTTCCCCTAGGAGGGTGGATTCTTGCAGACATAACTGAAATACTGTTCTGGTCTCAGGGAGTCTTCTGGGTTTCCAGCAGGAGCTGGCTTTGTGTGATATTTGCTTGTGCAGGCCTGTAGTGCCACTCCTCAAACACCTGATCTCAGCAAGAGAGGGTGGATCTGTACAAATACCAGCCTAGGGCTAGTTGCAGGCAGGGATGGTGTAATAGAGAGTCCATTGTCATGGTGATCCGGTGGAAAACATCTAATTGGTATTAGTTAGGTCATCAGGAGATCAGGGAACAATTCTTATTCAGTCCAAGTGATGGAGGTTAAAGACTGTGCCTGGGATTCATTTAGAGGTCACCAAGCCAAACCAGTCCTTGCTTTAGTGTGGAAATAGTGTTGCTTAGGTAAAAAGACTTATGTTTTGAGGTTGATGGTGTTTCCAGGAAATGTGATTGACTGTTCTTACATCTTGGCTCCAGGCAGGGGTAGTTCAGATTAGGAAATCCTAGGAAAGTTGCATTTATTCACTTGTCTGCTCTAAAACTCAGGGACATGACTTTCAAGGTGGATTTAGAAACCTGTGTTCTACAAAAGGCAGCAGACACACAGCACATGGAAAAAAAGTAATGCAGCTGCAGATTTGAGCCCTGTGAATGTCAGTAGCACTGCCCAGTATTACTACATCAATGTGGATTAATTGAAATGAGTAAGTGTAAATTAACAGCCTGTAGTGTTTTGGGAGACCTTGTTATATGTGAGAGAAGCAGTCTTTCTTGTGAATATTTGAATCTTCAGCCTAAATTTACCTTGTTGTGGAGTATCTGGACATTAAACTGCCACTGACTATGGGGAAAAGCCACTTACACTTGTAATTCGTCTTTCTTAATGTTCCTTCCCCTCCCTTCTTTCCTGTCCTGCAGCCACAGGAGGTATGTCAGGTTAAAGTGACTTCTTCTCCTTGCGTTTGTTCTTTGTGAAACATCTGTAGGTTTGAAAGGGCA